AATCCGCTGCCACAGCGCATAGAACATCGCATATGCCTCGCTAAAACTCTTATACGCCAAGGCTTGTTCGCACACATAATATTTTTGGAGGTTTAGTTTACACAGCAATAGAGTTGTAATGAGTCATGCCACATGCAATGAAACACATTTTTACAGCCGTGTGTCGTGCGGTGTGGCATGACGTGTGGCAGGTTGACAGCCGAGCATTGGTCATGCATTTCCGTTCGAGCTCTTTGGGCAGTCGAGCAGTCGAGCAGTCGCACGTGTAAATACACAAATAACTTGGCTTTAAGTCAAATGGCAGAGTTTGTGGCACTCGGACATGCCAATTGGTAATCTACTGACAATACCAAACAACGCTTCGTATCGATATGATGTTAGTTACTGCTCGAGGCGCAACGGAAATGTCTCAATTTGCAATTTGTCAAAGTGCCGAGTCGGAGCTTGGCCACTTTGTGCCCGGAGCGAACCGTGGCTAACAGAGACAGAGACAGAGACAGAGCCAGAGCCAAATTTGCTAAATACTTTGCTCGTTTAGGCCGGGTAGTAATGTGACGAGCATATAATAATCGTAATATTCATAGGATTTGCCCCCAAGTCATGTAACACCATTAGGCAGGCTCGGGCTGCCGTTGCAGAAGGCCAAGGCGGAGACTGTGGCAGCAGGCTCTGTTAATGGAATTTAATGCTGTGCAGGCGCTTGCCACTTGGCTAAGTCTAATGAATGCAGCAGACTGTGGAACTGGAGCAGGATAAACACAAAAGAGCGAGGCTAAGGCTGTGGCAGGGATTGCAACGGCTACAGCCAGAAGGGGGCTGAGTGGAGGCTCAGACGAGGACTGAGCGCCGTTGGGGCTGCCAGGAAGCACGCACTGACACCAATACACACACACACGCACATACACGCAATGCGTGCTGCAGCTGTTTGTATGGCAAGTCACGCCCCTTGCCCCTGCCTCTGCCCCATTGCCAAGCCTAAGTGGCTGTTTGTGTGCTTATGCACATATGTATATATGTATGTGTGTTTATTTGAAAGGAATCGCCCATGGTTATGCCTAGCATTTACCTGTAATTAAAAACTCTTGCTCAGCCAAGTTCATGTGAAATTATGTTTGCCGGATGTGGACAGTAGTGGCCAAGCTATTGGCAGCATTCTATGTAAACAGAATATATAGAGGCAACTGTTGCAAGTGGCAAAAGTAATTGCGGAAGCAAACCGCAAACCGTTGAGCAGTGGAGCACCTGCGGCTCGGACAAGTCAATAAATCACAATTGCCAAAAGGAAGAACAGAAGCGAACCAACACTAGTAGGAGAAAAAATGTGAGGTGAAAGGGGGAGAGGGGCAACAAATTTTGTTGCATTTCTCATGCTGTTTGCTGACAGTTTCAAGGTTTCGTCGAGTACAAAAACTGTTTACAGTTTTTTTTTCTCGCACAGTTTCTGGTTGCGTTTGGCATAAGCTGTGCAGCTTAACTTTGCTCGCCTCTGCCATGGCGCCGCCATTTTGTTGGTCTGCCATATTTTGTTCCAGCAGCATTTCCGCTTCCGTTTCGGGCGCGCAGCGTGGCGCCGCTTTACACACTTTGAACTTTTGTAAATTATTAAGTGAAAATGAAACTGTTTGCTGTTTGCCAAGAGCTTAGAAATTTGTAAACATATTAGAGAAATTTTTGGTGTTACATTGTTGAATGTTTGATTTATATCTACGGTTAATGGGAAGAGTTTAAGTTGAGCAGCTATGTATGTTTGTCTTAGTGTTGGAGTTTATTAAAGTTGGACGAAGGTTGTTAAAGATTTAATGTTTTGGTCTTTTTTTATACATCTCATAAATAATATTTTTTTTGTCTTTTTTGATAAATTACTAGTACTTATGTATATAATAAAACAATTATATTTATATATAGATATAATTTATTTCTATGATTTTAAACAACTAGCTAAATAATAATATTCTTTAATTAAAATATTTTGTAGTGCTTGATTTTAATTATATTTTTATATATTATTTATGATTATTTTTTTATTATTATTACTTTAATTATTTCGACAAAGTTGTCTATAATAGGAAAGCTTTTATTTTAGTCAAATGCATTGCCATAAAAAAATTAATTTTAATTTATTTACATACTCTTCAGAAAATATTTGCTTTTCTATTTTAATAAAAACATATTATTTTAGTGTCAATAAATTTTAATAAAAATGCGATCAAGTATTTATGGGAAACTTATAGAAAGAAAAAGCAAGGAAGTGCAAGAGAATTGTTAAGCAAATAGATGCAAAGGCAGACTGTGAAATACCCTAGAGCCAACAGTATTGATAGAACATATTAAAACTCACTTAAAATAATAATAATAAAAAAATATAGAAAATAATTTAAGATTGAGATATTTCATTTAATTTAAGCTCAGTTCAATTGCCAATAGATAACTTTCTGCCAGTCACTAACTGATAGTTACAAACGCAATATACCCCTCGATTACACTCGCTTCGCACTGTTGCTGGGTATAAATATCAAAAGCTAATAAAAATCAGAAAAAGTTTTGCTTTTCATTTGAAGTTTTTTGACTAATTGGCAACTGGGAAGAAACAAGTTCACATCAAATTTAATAAATTGGCAAATTTATTAAAGTTTCGTCTTCGGTGCGAGCGAACAAAGAGGTCTTAAAGTGAAGCCTGGCATAAGGAGAAGAGCACTGGCAAATGCTGCTCATAATTAACTTTTGTCAACTCTGCCGTTTGTGCTCGCACTTTACACTCGAGCTTTGCAGCTGCTGACAGTCCGCAAGACAACGGCTTTTGCCAGTGTGACCAATGT